TGTGTGTGTGTGTGTGTGTGTGTATGGATGTGAGTTCCCTAAATATGTTATTTTTGCTGTCCTTATTCAACAGCCTACAGAGAGTGAATGGATAAAACGTTTATTGACTAATGAAACTCTTTCCCCGGGAGGCTTGTCAGGGTTGTCACTTTTTCCATTAAGTGCTCTTTCCTTTAGGAGAATGGTATAAATAAATGACCAACATTCAGCTCAGATTGACAGGCTATAGCTTGCTGTCTTTCAAAGTTGGGATTGAACTGCTTTGTATTACAATTTTAGTGTGCTTGTTTGTTTATTTTGGAGATACTTTTTGGTTTTAAATGTGTTCAGCACTAGGATTAGTGGGGAATTATGCAAACAAATCAAGGATGATATGAGATATTTTAAAATGTGATTAGTTTTCAGTGTTGTGCACAGGAGTGTACATCTAGTTCCCAGTGAGCACAACCTGTTGGCAACCATGTGCCCATAGAAACCACTCTTGGTGGCTTCCCCTCCTGAGTTTGATTTTTTAAAAAAACTGTATAGAGCAAAGCATCCAACTTGCAGTCATTCACCATCTTCCTTTCCTTTCAGCACAATACTTCTGGGTTCAACATGAGCCTAGTGGTATCTTTAGGGGATGCTTTGGGTGTGTCATCTAGGTTACTTTCTAAAGTTTGTTGAAAATACAACAGAATAAAAGGGAAAGAGCCCCACCGCTCTGTAGCTTTGGGAGAAGGATGTAGGGTGAGCTACCACTAGTAAGGAACACTGCTGCAGAGTGATCATGAGATGGTTTGGGGACGGTTAAAAAGGCTGTGGGGTAACAGGGGATCTTGGGAGGGACCATGGGGAGACAGAAATGGTTGGAGAAGACCATGGGGGTGATGATGGTGATGCAGTGGAGATGGCCATGGGGCAACTGAAGTGTGGCAGAGAAGGGAGGGATGTGCGTTTGCTAGTGTAGTGGATTAATGGGACCCATAGTTGCATGTCTAGGAATTTGTGGGGCTGAGTGTGAGGTAAAGAGAAAGAGAGAATTTATGAGGAAACCAGAGTGAGGTGTTTATCAGGGGTAGGCAGCCTTTCCCCTTTAAGGGCCAAGGGACTTCAGCT